CGTCCAATTTTACGGGTCTCTTAGTCACTTAGTCTCTTAGTCTTAGTGAGTCTCGATGTTTTGCGATGCTGAGAAAGCCTCGAAGCATCGAATTGTTTGTTTTCGTATTTATACATGATGAGCCTGAACGTTTCTTACTCGCATTTGAAACATTAGAAGTCTTGGTCTCACAATTTTAATTAAAGGCAAAATATCTTGGGCTCGCAAACAAAATTGCTACTCTCGCCTTCTAGCAAAGGCTCGCATTTACCTGTGTGATAAGCTTCAAGGAACGTTTAATACTTACACCGTTACATCACGTGCATGCCGCACGTGGATTGTATACCAACAATGCCTGGTGAATGTTTCTTAACATCATGGACTTCCCGTGCTATAAACTCCGAGGGAGGGGTGTGCGGCCCGCTTCCCAAAACCCTTACCCTAATTATGACCGAAAATTTGGTACCCTATTTATGAATTAAATCAATAACCTGTTTGAGACCTGCCTTATAATTAGTTCCCTAGTTCAGACTAATATCAAATTGCCGTAAACATAATTTGTGAAGGGCTTTTGTTGATGGTCTTAATGATGAAAAAGTAGCTTCTTCTTAAAAACATACGCATATCAAGACTAGAGTGCAAAACCATCTCCTATTTATGACCAAAACGGCTTTAAAAAAAAACCATACCCTTTGGGGTGCACATACCTATATAGCTCCCCCGGGCTATTAACGAAGCTTTGCCTGCATAAATGCTTACATGAAGCTGCTCAACCAAGAGCAATGTATTGCTTACATTTTCGCAGGAGTAACGACCTGTCAGTTGAATTATGTGAGGTCACGCAACGCTTTCTCGTGGTATGCCACATAATATCCTACTTGTCACTTTCTTTATTTTCTTGATTTACACACTCGCTGTCGCCTTAAGGCATGGGTGAATACCGAGAAAATGCAAGTGACTCGTGGGACATTCCATGGAATATCACTCGAAAGGGATGCCTAACTAGTATGTACACTACAAATTCAGACTGTCGTTTGCATGACGAGCTGCCCGATATAAGGAGCAAAGCTTGTGGAACCGGCCTGACTAAACAAAATCGCCAACACAAAGGACTGCCCTATGTTGGTAACAAATCTTTTGCAACTTGTCATTTGACTAGTGAAAACATTAGTTTAACTGGGAGTCCATTGCACGTAGCGAGAAACTGCCTTACTTGATCTATATACTCACCGTTTATATATTTAAATTTTTTTTCCAAGGAAACCACATTTTCAGGTTTTAGTATTATGTGTATTAAAATGTGTTTCGAAGAAACTGCTCAGAAGAATTTGAGTATTATGCCATGATATACGAGCCAATGAGTTCACTAAATCGATAGTTTCAGCATTAGTTTTACTTACAGTTTATCAGAGCATGTGTTTGGTTGTTCCATGCGATATCCCGTTTTCAGAAGATTGTACAATTCTTTGTTGTTTATTCCAGGATAGGGATTTCCTCCTGCAATAAGATGTTTATAGGATAAAGTGTGTGATGGATGGCTAGATGTAATATATCAAACGCGAAAGACCGTGTTTGACCACATTTCCAAACACCGAGAAGAGAGTTGAAAATACGACGCGTAGCGGAGTATTTTTGACGAGCTTCGAGGTGTTTGGAAATGTGATCAAACACTGTCTTAAGTGTTTGAGGGAGGGAAAAGAAGAAAACGGAGTATTAAAATCGTAAAATCTATGCTAATTATGATCAGCTACCCAAATACCGTCACGGTCATGATTTCCTTCATTTAAAACTGATGAATTATTAATGAGTTTGAGAAGGCTAGATCATTGCCCAAAAACTGGCCAAAATAACGAGGCAAATATCCTGCCATAAGCTTGGTCAATAAAGAATTTATCGATTGACTTCCTGGAAAATTAGGGACTCAGCACATCGTCCCTAGTGGGCAAGGTAGCGCTGTCTTGCCCGCTCGGGTAGCCAATCACAGCGCAGAATTTGGTTTATCTTGCCCGCTCACAGAGCCAGCCATATGATAAATAAAAGTAAATAAACAGGTGTAAACTGCGCGTACCCAGCCTCTAGACCAGAAACATACAGTGTTCATGTTGTTTTTTTTTAAGAGCAATTTTAGACCGTTCCCGATGCAATCCTGATCGGGATGATATTAAACTACGAGTCTTCTCTAAATTTTTGTCGAAATGAAAAGCAATCCAGATAGCCTAGCTATATCGAACAACTAAACAGGACCAAAGCCAGTATGAGACAATTCAGCCTCAGTCGTAACTCTTTTGGTTAGTCAAAAAAAAATATTTTTATTAGTCCAAGGAATAATACAGCTTGTTGTTTTCTGGCAGTAATTATTCAAGGAAGAAGCAGTAGAAAGATGCATGTTTTCTTGTTTTGTTTGATTATTACAGTTAGTAATTATAAAACGTTGAATTTCTATACTCAATTCTAATTTAAATAATACCCGATTCATTTACGTTGGATCCGAAAGGCGTACTTGAATAGAAAACACTAGAAAAAGTAAACTTTTGCTGTTTTAGTCCTTACCCATTGTGGAAAGCTCCCATAGAAGAATTCCAAAAGACCAGCTGAGGAAAAAATAATTTTAAAAAATTAAACATCTCTTGCCACTTAATTAATTTTTTGGCAAAATTTTCTTTTAGTACAGCTCATATAATGATGAAACAACGTAATTAACGTTTTTAGTTAAACAGACCGTCCGTTTAACGGATCTCAGGAGTCCGTCATCATTTTACCCGAGGCATTTGACAACCTTGTGTATTTGACATCGACGAATTTATGCTAGCTTCTCCGTACAGTGATGAATTTATCAACAAAGAGGAAAAACGAATGACCAACTAATTCCAAGCAGGTCCAGAAGAGATGCCATATCCACCGAAAACTTGTGCGAGTGAGTTTCTTACAGTATCCTCCGTCACATTATGTAGTGTAAAGCTGAATTATGGTAGAGAGTCGTACTTTAGACCAATCGCTTTACTCGTATAGCAGAAGTAAGCATTGCTTTACCTCGTGTAGTGTGATCGACCGGGTGAGTGTAGTTCTGAAAAGAACCGTTATTGGTGACTGACGTTTCGACAACCTGAGCGAAAGTCATCTTCAGAGTCAAATGAAAAGTGTTTGTCAGTCACTGGTGTTATATGTATGTTCCGTTTAGACTGACCGATTTTGGCTCTAAAACTCTTATGTAAAGTTTGTCAACAGCAGAAGAGGATCAAGGTAACTTACCATAATCTTCTCTTGTCAATCGTCATCGGTCGGTTCTAGTAACTCTCGATCTGTTGTTAGTCAAATTAAGTCGGTATGTTTGAGGTCCGCCTGTCGATTTTGTTTGTGTGATGAACGAGTCGTTGGCAAGATGCCAGGATTTGTTCTCAGTGCCATCTGTTAAAGGAGCTACGGCACAGTTTGTGCATCTTGAAAAGTTTAGCCTAAATTTTTCAGGGTCGCCGTTTCTAATCCGTGTTAATCTTCTCTATCCTTAACAATCCTTGTTTCTTTATGATTTATTATTATCTCTTAATGTTTTTCTATCTTAGTAATAGTAAACTACTATTTTCACGTTTCCTTCCAAAGGTAATTTTGTACGCGGTCAAAATACCGCGATTGAGCCGGCTCCTTTAAGAGGCATATGCTCTAAGTTAGTGTACCGACTACGTTACTTTATAACTCTCTAATTTAAAAGAAAAAAACTTACACATCGCTTTTGGCGGTGTATTCACTGTTGTAGAGTGTTAAAGAGGCATTTGCTTCAGGTTAGTGTACCACCTTTCCAGAGAGTTACGTTACTTTAATTATAACTCTCTAAGCTCAAAACAAAACTTACACATCGCTTTTGGTGGTGTATTCACTGTTGTGGAGTGCTTCAGGCGCCATCCACTTTACAGGTATCTTTTTGCCTTTCTTTAGGTGGTAAACATTCTCATGGGTTTGCCGCATCAATCCAAAATCAGAAATTTTTACCACTTTGTTCTCGCCAAGTAGAACATTGCGGGCTGCTAAGTCGCGATGAACAAATCCATTACTTGATAGGAAGTTCTGCATGAAATAAATAAATAATAAGATCAATAAATAAATAAATAAATAAATACGATAATAAATAAGCAAATCACAAAATTTAGAGAAGAAGCGACATCAGCCTTAGCTGGTTTTCACGCAGACCCTCTATCCTGGTCGAATTGGAATTTGGAGATGTTGGTTTTTGTAGAGGGAATTAATAATAAGGAGAACGTACTAAATCAGTAGAGAAACTATTTAAGGCTTTCCTGGCTTAAATAACTTGATATCCTTACTGTCATCTAATCCCGATTCGAGGAGGAGCCACGAAACACACAAATATCGCGAATGAAAAATGTCCCTTGGGTTCACCGCGCTCGATCTACTCACATCAGTAAGGTGCCACGTATCCAGCGTGGCTGCCCCGATGGTGTAGTAGATATCGCGCCCGACTAGTATGCGGGGAGATGCGGGTTTCAGAGACGTATGTCGAAAGCCGCCTGTAATTTTGTTTACATTTTGCTATCATTGTCCTAAATCAGTGCTTGCAAAATAATAATATGTGTGCAATGCATAGCGAGTGCGCGCTTAAAGGAACTTACAAACTGTAGGACGTAAAACTTATTAATAATCACTAGATAAAACGATATCGCAACACAAACGAAATACTGGGAAGGTTCAACCGCTTTTCAAAGATGGACGACGCTACCATTTTAAACATTTTGGGAGTTTGCTGTTCCCAAGCTCTGCAACCTACCATTCCGCGCGCTATCTGCCACGCAAAGCAAAGAAGATCCTTTGCGTTGAATTCCTCCTCGCATTGCACGTTGTCATGGCAACCACTTTGAGTGACATGAACCGGATGAGCTTCATAGTGATTCTCCAACCCCTCTTTCATTTCCGGTTTGGTTTCTTCTCCCACTTTCTCTTTGCCAGCAGCTCCCACGTTAAGCTTGTTAGGATCCATGCTTTCTTTCTCGTTTCCCGTCAGCAGTGCCTTTGATTCGTTTTCCATATCCGTACTAAATTGCACTTCAATTGCAGCCGGCCTCAAGTGATTTTCCTCGTTACTGTAGTTCTTTTGATAGCTTTTCTACCGAAGGGAAAAAATCATAGGATATTAATTAGAGATTAAGGGTTTAAAATTAATACGGGGGTGGGGTGATATCTTGGGGTGGCAGAATCAATGGGGCATTCTCACAAAAATGTGACAATTTGATAGCTGAAACCTAATTGAAAACTGCTACACCAGAAATACCAGAAATGCCATAAAGTAGAAATTACGATGAAGTGCTTGTCCAGAGTGTTGANCCCATCGCCCCCGCCGCTAAATTTTCCTCTGATACTTTCGCTGAAGCCTCAGCGTTTTGGAGCAACAGCTTGCTTCACGACGAGAATCAAAAAGTGCTGGAAAAGAATGTGTGTAAACGGTACTGACGAAACTCATTAAAGTAGTTTGGTGAAAAAGCTTCTATCAATGCTTTCCATGTTCTATCCTGTTCTACCTGATTTTCAACTAAGACCTGAAAATAAGTTGCAACATTAAGGGAGGAGGCCACATCAGCTTAGTTGGTTTTCAGCGGGTCCTCTATCCTGTTCAAATTGGAATTTGACGATATTGTTTTTTGTGGAGGGAGGAAAACTGAAGTACCCGGAGAAAGGCGAGACTCAATATGACATCAAGTCGGAATCGAACCCAAGCCACATCGGTGGGAGGCAAGCACTATCCCCACTGCGCCATCCCTGCTTATGTGATATTAAATTTACCTGTATTCTCTTGTTCCTCAGCCAGTGTAATAGATCTCCGTATGGAACATATTCTAATACCAGAAATATTGGATCTGAGTTAACCCAACAGCCCAGCATGCTGACAATATTCCTGTGTGAGCCAATCGCCTTCATGAGTTCAATTTCCTCAAGAAATTGATTTCTGGCTTCCTCGTCTGTTGTGTCTAGAGATATAATCACGTGATCAGTTCTGAAGGAACTTGTCAATGACGTTGCAGCTGGTTAAAATGCACATGCGCACCATGAAACAAACTTTCATTAACCATTAGCAGAGTAGCCGTCAAATATTACAAACCAATCAAAGTTTCACAATACAAGTAGACGTGTTATTTGTTCCGTGGTTTTGGTGATCAATGTTACACATGGAAACCGTAGTTTAGACCCCAGGGGTTGCTCGTCGGAAATTTCGGAAAGAAGCCCTAAGAGGTACCAAGAACCTGTTTTGTGGGCGTGGCTTGAACTTTTTCTCGCCCCTAAGAGGTACCAATTCTAAAACAACACATTATCTCCTGTCATATTTTTTCGGCTCAATACTCTAACAGGTACCACAAAAGCTCCCGCTGGGGACCTTTTGAGACTGAACACTCCAAGAAGTACCAAAACTGCTTTTTTAACCCCTTATAGAAAGATACGACGTGCAATCCCCGTTCTTTTGATATGGGAGTCTCCCCCGGGGGTTAGCCTATTTGATTCTTTGCTGTTGGTTTAGGCCCCTTCTTCACGTATCCGGATATTTTTGAATCCGCGTCTTTTTCTTTCCGGATACGGCTTCCGTCCACACGCATCCGGCAAATTCGGCAGCAAATCCGGATATTTTTAAATCCGCTCTCCAGAGTGGAAAAAATAAATCTGCAACGAATCCGATAACGTGCGGACGGTGAATCCGGATATTTTCGAACCCGACGACGTAGCAAAATTGTGTCCAGTCCCTTACCGAATAATAGACCAATATGGCGGCACAACGTGTAAGCCTGGTTTCTCTAGTGTGAATCCAGATACCATCGGATACGTGTGGACAGGCGAATTCGATTTGAATGCGCTACGTGTGGACGAAGAAATTTTTGAATCCGGGAAGAAAACGTTGCGGATTCAAAAATATCCGGATACGTGCGGACGGGCCCTTAGATGACCTGTAACTTGAAAATCATCTACTTACCTCCCAAAACTTTAACAGCTACAATTCGGTCTTCTTTGAAGTCGACAGTCTGTGTTCTTGGCTTATAAAATACTTCAATTCCAGGGGATTCTTTGAACGTGGCTTTAAACACCTTGCCAAATGCCCCTCGACCAATCTCTTCCTTGAAGACAACCTGCTCGGGTAGAACTTCCCAGCGACGAAGAGCAAAAATGGTGGATTTCGATCTAAAGGAAAATGAGGAAATTGGACTCAGTGGTTTACTCTTACTGGCCTCCTATCACGAATGCCGTTCTCAGATTGGCTGCGCTACACTATTCTGTTGCAGACAGTGAGTAGCCTAGCAGTGTGCAATGGCGGCCGCTTCTTTGCGTTTTCCAAGGGTCTTTGAAGAGAACTTAGATAAAAGTTTTGAACGACTAGTAGATTTATTCTAAAACAATTAGATTATTCGGCGCTCTCGATTTCTATGCGTGATAATTAATATGCATTAGCGTTGTTGTAGATTTCGTTGTTGTAGACTTTAGTTTACGCTTTCGCCGTTACAGTTTTCGTCGTTTAAGCATCTGTGTGGCGTCGTATCGTACGTTTTCCCTTTTTATGCGTTATGGAGTTTCACCGATAAGGTTCGTTCTAAGTTCTTCCGTTACCTGTATTTCATTTTTTGTGCATTTTCTTAGTATTTGGTTGTTGCTTTCTTTGCTAGAACAGTCACGCTGGGAAGGGACCGTTTATTTTCCCGTACAACAAGTATCTTGTGGTGTACTTTTGTGAATAAAAGTGTAGTGTGCGCTGCTGAATTTTAGCGGCTACAACGAGTATTATTTACCGAGCGTCATTTCAGGGTTTAAAGTAGCTTTATAGCTACTCTTAAATTCGAGTATGTCTATTCGAGAGTCAGGACAAAGATGGCATTGAATTACCTCCTTGGCCTCAGGTTATGAGCAAGTCGCTTCCTTCTTTTTGCTTTCCGTCGAAGCGCAAATATTATTGTTGAAATGATGATAAGTAGGGCACAAAGTCCCCCGATTAACGCAGATAACTGTGTTGCAGAAAGTCCTTTACCACCGTCAGATTCTGGAGATTTCTTAAAGCTTGTTTCTGTGTTTGTATCTGAAGCTGGGAACAAGATTAAGATGAATATTATTTAAAGCAGACACATTCGGCCTATATTCTTAATGCCAGTAGAGATGGAAATGCCGGCTACCATCGTGGGACCCGTCTCCTACGGACACTGACGCTCTTTTGGCAAGTCACACAATCTTCCTCTTCCATGTGGGTGAGGAAGATTGCGTGACGAGTTGCGCAGAGGGTCTGCGTAGGAGGTTATCGTGGAATCAGTTTCTTTCCGAAGAACTCTTCCGTAAAACTTTTCTTCGCTGAACTGAAATACCATACCAAAATGCCAACTTTGCCTTCACTTAAATAAATAAATAAATATATATATAAATGCCGAGAAACGGAAAATGCTCACAGTTTGCACAACACCATCTTTTTGCCTAGTCACCAGGCTCTTTTCGGTGGTTATCTTCGCTATGGCTGAGATTGCAAGAGGAAATATTCGAAAAAGTACCTGACTGAAGTGTTTGTATTATCCACGGCCTTGACCTCTCGCTCTCTCCCAGTTCATTCCAGGCCGAGATCTCGATCGTGTACTGCGTGTCACATGATAACGATAGAGTAAAGTTAGTCGCCATGATGTCAGTGAGGTTAACTTGGTACCAGGGCTCCCCAATTTCTCGTGGCTGAATTCGTTGGTAGTTTATTGTGTACATGGTCAGTGGACACCCGTTGTCTGCAGGAGGGCTCCATGTAAGGATCACATCACATCTCGGTATTTCTGTTTCCTTGTTTTTGATGAAAGGAATTGACGGAACTTCTGTAAAGAGAAAGAACAGAATCTAAAGCATCAGCTGGAGAAAAATGCTTCATCTCAGAAATATTAATATTCTAGCACATACGGATGCTTGAAAGTACTGTAACGAAATTAGTGACACAAACATTCACTTTTCTTTAGTAGTGTCAAATTATGACAGTTAACGATGAAGCACAGTACTTTGTTTAAAACATGTAACACTTAGTAAACCTTCACATAATTAATTAACTAAGAACATCTCCCTGAAAATCTAAACCAAAAATGCCCGGGTAAAAACTCTGTAAGTATCACTGCATGACATATTACATGCCATATCACCTCCTTGGGTTTTGAAGTTCCATATCTTGCTCTCATTGAAAGCACTTTCCTTAAATCCACTCAGTGAGGTAACAGCTACTTCATACTCTTCCCTACATTTGAGCTGCAGCGTATAACTGTTTGTTTTTCCTTTCACGGTAACTGATTGCCACTTGTTTTTCTTCGCCACTTTTCTGTAGTACACAGTGTAAGTGATAACTGGACACGCCCCTTCTAAGGGAGGCTCCCATGCGACAACAACAGTCCCTCCTGGTACAGCCTTGGTCGAGTTTACGATACCAGGAACACCTATTTTCAGAAGAATATGGTTCAATACATTATCTTATTTCATTTTTGTTTTTCAAATATACAGAGTAAGTTATCTCAGGCACAACTCACGTACTAGAGTGCCAACTAATCATAAGCTCGGTTGTGGTGGCTCACACGTCAGTTCCTCCCTGGTGGAGAGGATGAGTGGACATTATTTAGGATTAAAAACAAAATCTATAAAACGGCAGATGAGCCCTCAATTGACTAACGGCCCCACATTGACGGGCAGGACTGGCGCCCATCTACACAAGTTAATCACAGATCATGATAGACACCAGATGTTCCTGCTACTCTGCCCAGACTACCTTGACAAGGTGATGATCTCACAAACATCGGAAAAGTTACAAAGACTAACCACTTGACGCATCTTGTAATATATCAAACACGAGAAACAGTGTTTTATCCGGATATCCAAACACCGAGAAGGGAGTTGAAAATATGACGCGCGGCGGAGTATTTTTGATAAAATTCCAGGTGTTTGGATAGCCGATGAAACACTGTCTCGAGTTTTTGATGTAATATATCAAACACTAGAGGCAGTGTTTCATCCGAATATCCAAACACCGAGAAGAGAGTTGAAAATACGACGCGCAACGGAGTATATTTGACGAAATTCGAGGTGTTT